GAGTTGAAATTAATTCCGAGTTGAAATTATTTCCGAGCTGAAATTAATTCTGTCAATCTTTTTCCCAACTATGTTCATCGGAATAGACCTTTGTCATTCTTTTCTGCTACACGTGTTCCCACGATAAATAATTCGGGAAGATTTTCACATATGCTTGCTTTTTACGACGTGTTATAAACACTTGAAACTGATAGGACTCTTTTATTTCCAAGCAGAAAAAAAGATGGACGAAATTTCTGAGACACATTATCCAGAAGAAGGCATGGCGAATTTAACACTCTCAGGACAAGCGAAGCGGAGGGACGCAGCGGGGCAACCCATTTAAGGTGTCTGAACAAATAGATTCCAGAACAAGGATAAAGACTGATTGTAAAGCGCCAGGAGATACTTAGAACCAAAGTAGATAAGAAGTTCGGGAGTCGACGTTCCTGTCTTTTTTTTTTATTATTTTTAATTAATTGATTGATAATAATGATTTAGTGCTACAAGTTTTACTAATTAACCCATAGATGGGGTAGAAGGGGTGGTTTCAAAATTTGATAAAGAATATTATAATGTGGATATAAAGCGAGGGAATAAATATATAAACTGATCCCCCACTTTGTGGCCACACAAGTTTCTGTACATTGATATTCTAGAGAATGTAAATGTAAAAGACGTGTAGCTAATCAGTATTTCATTGATTGATTGATTCGTTTTTTTACGGCTTATCAACAAACAAGAAATTATAACGTGGACATAAAATGGGGGACCAATTCTATATTAAGAGCAATATGTAAACTGATCCCTCACTTTGTGTCCAAGGTAGTTTTTATACATTTATATTCCAGAGAAGGTAAATAAATCTGTGTAGACTATTACATGTGCACAAAAATTATTTGCATTGGCAACCATGTAAGAAATATAGACAGATCTTTGAGAAAATCGGAGTGTACAACGGTTGAAATGTCGTGAATATGGCAATAAAGCTGAGGACCACAGTCAGAATAATGTAAATGGTGTAAATAATTAAAATACCTCATCTCAGAAATATAGACAGATCCTGAAGGAGGCCGGAGCGTAAAACGGTTGAAATGTCGTTAATATGCCTACGAAGATGAGGACAACAGCCTGAACAAAGTAAATAATGTAAATAATTAAAATAATTCATCTAAGAAATATAGACAAATCCTGAAGAAGTCCGGAGCGTACAACTGTCGAAACGTAGTGAATATGCCAACGAAGATGAGGACAGCAATCCGATCAATGCAAATGTGTAAATAATTAAAATTCCTAATCTCAGAAATATAGATAGATCCTGAAGATGGCCTGAGCGTGCAACGGCCGAAACGTCGTGAATATGCCAACGAAGATGAGAAGAGTAGTCCGAACAAGGTAAATAGTGTAAATAATTTAAATACCTAATCTCAGAAATACAGACAGATCATGAAGAAGGCTGGAACATACAACGGTTGCTAACCGAACGCTCCTCTGTGGCCCAATCGTTAAAGGCACGTCAAGCTAAATGATGGTTCCGTATAGGATACAGGTTCGAATCCTGTCGGAGGACGAATATTTTCTATGAAAATTTCTCGGACATTCAGGCCGGTAAATGTTGTTTAATACTGTTTATTATAAAAACAGAAGATTTACTTAAATATTTGTATCTATAAAAAGAATGTATAAACATAAAACTGTCTTAAAATAATTGTCTGACTTTGTCCATTTCATAATGTGTGACGTCATTTGTTTACATTTGATACGCCATGAGCAGATATGAATGTACGTGAGAGATTCATGGAAGATTGAAGTTCAAATATATATATATATATATATATAATTATTTGGGTTTGCTGTACTTGAATGTATTGAGCACTTTATTTAGTTATTTTGCGTATTCGCATCGGGGCTTTTTCTTTGGGCCTTGGACTTGCATGCTAGACGATTATTTTCGGCTAACGTACAAGTTCTTGGCTTTTTCTTTTTTTTTATACCTTTTTTCCCTTTGGTATTGGTTTGATTATTCTCAAATCAAGACATCTCCGGACGAGTATAATTTCTTATATTTATAAGATTATTACTAGTATATATATATATATATATACAAATAAGAGAAAAAACACATGGAGTAAAATTTCGCTGTTCGTTGCATTTACTTTTAAAAAAGTGCTCAATATAAAGTAGAGCAATATATCATTATTACATTTTTATTATAAGAGATTATAATAAAACCATTTTGAAATCGCTACACCAAAAGCTTTCATGTTTCAATACTCTGATTGTACTTCTTCAGGCGATAGTAAATAACTGGTGATTAAATGATTTTAAGGAAATTTTTAAAAAGTGCTACCTTGTTTCCTAAATTCAAAGGTAGGGGCATAAGGTCAGAATTAAAAATAGACTTTTGGGTATGTCTTGATTAACCAATTAAATGTCAGATCTATGCTAAATAGATAAGTAAGCTCAGAGGGTGGAAGTAGGTGAGTTATTTTCTGATTAACCCACCACTCTCTTCAACAAATTGGACATATCTTATTTGTCTACAATCACGATACATTTGTCGCTGGCGTAGTTTCCGCAATCGTCAATGATGACATATCTATGTCCCAGTTTATCGGGACATGAAAAAATAACTCACCGCATATATATATATATATATATATATATATATATATATATATATATGGGAAAGTGTATATATATATATATATATATATATGGGAAAGTGTATATATTAAAAAGAAGAAAGAAACCATAAACGTTTCTGGTTATAATGTGGATTTAAAAAAAAAATATTATTCTTTTTTTTTCATAATTTTGCTACACGAGTTTCCGGTCTCGTGACCTTCATCAGGCAAAGAGTGGATATTTCCACATATTATTAAAAGGAATTAATATTTTTTTATGTTTTTCATTATATGCTAAACATTCTCTTTTTTCTATGTTAGTGACACAAATGTCTTTCTTGATCTGGCAGTGAGAAAATTCTTCTGCGTGAAGTTTTGGTTTGGTTTATTTTGTTTTACGGCATATCAACACCTCAATGGGTTATTTAATGCCGACAACATTTTTAGGATGGATTCGTATGAATAGAATATGTATTCTTTGGTTTGGATTGGTTTGGTTTATTTTGTTTTACGGCATATCAACAACTCAATGGGTTATTTAATGCCGACAACATTTTTAGGATAGATTCGTATGAATAGAATATGTATTCTGTGGTTTAGATTGGTTTGGTTTATTTTGTTTTACGGCATATCAACCCCAATGGGTTATTTAATGCCGACAACATTTTTAGGATAGATTCGTATGAATAGAATATGTATTCTTTGGTTTAGATTGGTTTCGTTTATTTTGTTTTACGGCATATCAACCTCAATATTTTGTTTCGTCAAAAATCTGTTTCTGGTAATATTTTTCCTTCAAAATTGTATTGCTGGTCATAATTTTTTTTCAAAAAAGTATTGCTAGTAATAGTTAACTATTTGCCCATAGCTGGGACCCTAGCAGGTGCAACCACCCTGGGTCAGGGTGGACCTGAGAACACCAGCAATTAAGAGGTGGTTCCACGCTCCTCAAAACATCCTGATCAGAGGCCCTGCTGCTGGATATAGTTTATCGTCTTACCCAGGACGTCTGCGTGAAGAGTAATAAAACAATTAAGACTTTTCTGAGAAAGAGTGAGGAAAGATATCTGTATTCTTATATTTTAATGACCCCTTTGTGTTCTTAGATCTAATACCATTTCTTGTCTTGTGTCTGTTTTTGCCAGGATGCGTATGTATACATATATTCCCTCTCCATACATACATACTGTCTTGTGATCAGGAATTAGTATACACATATATACACACATACATAAACATACACATATACACACACACACACATACACACACTTTCTGTGTTGTGTAGTGTTCGCGTGTATGCCCGTGAGCAGTCTTATTTTTGCCAATATGTCCATATATATATATATATATATATATATATATATATATATATATATATATAGTATCAGTATATGTATACGCGCATTTCCTCTCCATACATACACACTGTCTTATTATAAAGAATTAGTATACACACATATACGCACATACATACACACACACATATAAATACATACGCATACACACTCTTCCTATATTGTGTAGGGTTTGTGTGTGTGCTTTTTTGTAGTCTATTTGTTTTTGCCAATATACTTATATATATATTCATGCTCCACAGATACCTGCGTGTGAGTGTGTGCGCATGCATGTGAGTGGTTCGACTACTGTATTTGGTCATTATGTGTGCATGTAGTGTGTTTTTGCGTGTTGGGTTACGATCTATTTATTGCTGGTTTAAATTTGTTTATGAAGTTTTTTCTTGTATTTGTAGGTAAGAATAATTGTCTGTTTGATATATTGGTATAATTTTAAAATCACCCTAGTTACATTTATAGATGTGTTGTGATACAAAGAGTTTTCTGTTGTCTGGTAAGTTTATGTTGCTTTTGTGGAGGGAAACTCCGTTGTTTAGCTGATACCTATATATGACTTCTTGCATTTTGTACATTTGAATGCACTAATAACATTTTTGGAGTTGCAATTTAAATTTTTATTTATTATGAATGTCATTTTGGGGTTTCCAAAAGTGTAGGAGTTTCCTTCTATAATGATGTCACAAGCCCCACATGTCTTTTGTTGCATTTTGTGACTCCCTGTATTACGTGTTGGCTAAATTTGGATGAGGTTAATATGTGTTTTAGGTTTTTAGAATGGCGTTTGCTTTTAATTATTTTGGTTGTTTTTAGTATATTTTTTAAATATTTTTTTAGTATATTCTTGCTAAGTAGGTCTAGATTTTTTTGTAATTTCTGTAAATAGTTCTGGAGTATTCTTGTATATTGTGACATATGCTAGAATTTGTTCGACGTTACGTTTCTTTG